TTCTTGTATATCTTTGTCTCATATTGATATTTCTTCCTTTCTTTTGCCTTTCTCTCCACCTAGTACATGTACATGTACATCTAACTTTTGCTCTTTCTCTTTTCGTCCTATAAAGGATTCTCCTGTCTCTCATGTTCTTTGTCTTTTTGTGTTAACACAAGCTTATAGTATCAGTAAGGAACTGTATTATACGTTATGTACGTCAATGTCATGTTTTTTACTATTTTTTATTAGAGTATTGTAACAGTTTTGGGTCACAGATGCATTGCTTGTCAAGATTCAAGATCCCATGAAATCCACCTGCTTTTTATTTTTGGCAAAAGATGTGGGAACAGAACAATCCTAACAACATGATGGTAAGACACAATTTACATTACAGTGCATGTTTTATTCAGTGCATGTACACATGTACAGTAAATGAGGGATAGTGAGTGTCCTTTGGTCAGTAATAATTGATGTCTCATTTATTGTACAGGAGAATAGAATTATGACAAAATGCTAAGAGAATTCAAAGCATGTCCCATTTGAAAAAGTACAATGTTTGAACATCAACGTCACTTAAATTTACACACTCTTTCACTCTCTCTTTTAGTGCTGTTAACTATACTCATAATCAAGAAACAGTTTGTTCCATAGACATTATCATATAAAGGCTGTGTTAAGATTAATATGCACTAATGCAATGATAAGTCGTATGTGATGTAAATGTACATGTATTTGAGTTAATGGATTACTAAGTAATTGTAATGGTAGTTGTCACAGGCCTATGTCACTGAGTCCCTGACTGTACATGAATGTACAATGTATTCTCAGATAAATTCATTAACAATGACATTGCCTTCTGAGCACAGATGGCAATGAAGTTACCATTGCCATTACTATTACTTTTTTAATAACAATTTAGTGCTGTACACCTTCCTCTCATTCCTCTTTTTGTTTCTCTATCTCTTTAGTGTCACCATTTTCTTGATGCATCAAGCTTAGGAGATACTGAGGTCATCAATGAGTCTTGCATTCAAGTGAGGGCAATTATACATTTTCCCTATTTACATTTCTTTCCATGTTTATAGGCTTGTTGTCTTTCAAAATTAGGACACTGTACATGAACATACTTTGTTGTTTTTTTTATAATAACATTATTATAGTTGTTGTTTTGTTACATAAAATGGTTTTAATACTATAATGTGATAGCAGTCCATAAACTGATGCCACAATGCTAGAAAAACCAAAAGCTGTCTAGGCAAAGGTTCCTTACATGATCCAGGGATGAGAAATTTACCTATTGGCTTAATGTAGTTGGATAATTTTTGAAGTCTGTTAGCTGTGCAATTCTGATTGTTATCTGTAGGTATACAAAATTACTTTTTATGAAAAATAAATGTACTAAATTAGAATGAATAACTACCGAGATAATCAGCTGAACATACTTTCTGCATACTTAATAAGGTGGTGGGGCTGAAGGTTTTCAGCTGAAAACTCCAAGGTTTTAAATCAAACGTTCAAAAAACAGCAATGATGTGCTTGATGAATAATTAGCTAGTGCTACAGCAAGGTTGAAAGGTTGCTGCAATTAATTGTCATGTTTTGACTATTTTGACTAAAAAGTTATACTTAGGCAGAA